GATCTAACTGTATGCGCTACATGGGTTTCGCGGCAGGACCACAGAACAAAGTTGACTTACCACGGAATGTCCGTCAAGTTACCATGGAACTTTCAGTGGGGACCTGGTAGATCGATGGAGTCTATAAGGTTATTTACAAATATAGATAGCAAAACTGCAACCTGCATTTCACAAGCAACTTATGAGCAGGTAAAGTTTGTAATGGTGCAGTAGGGTGGAGGCTTGGTGGTGAGCTGTGAAGCATAAGCGAGGAATCGCATACGTCGAATCGAGTCGTCGAACGTCGAACTTACCACTGAACCACAAGCACTCCACCCTACTGCACCATTACAAACTTTACCTGCTCATAAGTTGCTTGTGAAATGCAGGTTGCAGTTTTGCTAAGGATATTTGTAAATAACCTTAAAGACTATCGACCCACCAGGTCTCCATTCAAAACTCCATGCTAAGTTGGCGGTCGTTCCTGGGTAGTAGCGTAACCGTGTATGCCACGCGCCTTTGATCTCAATTTTTTTACAGGAGGAGACCTGCGCTCTTCGACACGACGTACAGCTCCCAATTCGTTTGACCGATCAATAGTGTCCAATGACACCGGAAATCCACCACCAGTGAGCTCTTTCTCTTTCAGCTTTTAGCCCAAACACCAAATCGGGTGGAGTAGGAGGATGGGGCAATTGTCAGTGAGACTCCTCCTCGTCCGACTTTGGTCGTCTCTCAGCAAGACGAGGTTCGACGAATTCTGTTGATGGCGATGGAGTCTTGGTCTCAATCCCCTTCCTCTCAGCCCTTGTTCATTACTTTTTTGTTTACTATTTTCACTGTTTTATTTGACCTGTTTTTATTTGGTCTCAATAGTACTCAAGATAGAAAAAGTTCATTGAAAGTCCCTTTATCATAGTTTAACGCCTTTGAACCATGTGTTCGTGAAGATTCTAGCTGCCAAAATTGTCCTAGCCATCGAGGAGTTTTGTTCCACATGGGGTTCTCGGCCTACATCGCAATCAGTACCTGGAAACGGCCAATTGCTTATTGAGTCTAATTTGACTTATTTGATATTTTTTTCCATTCTTTTCATCTTGTTTTGTTCATTTATCGTTTTGTTGTTCACAGTGCCTACCCGTAGAACAAGCTATTGTTTTACGCCTTAGAACTTGTCGAATTCTCAAGTTCTTTTGCTAGTTTTCATGAATATTCAAAGAAGAGGAAACATGATTATTGGCAGTGCGTCACGGAACGTGCCGGGCACTGTGCCAACTCTTCCACCTGCGGCTGTTTCTGTGAAAAATATCACGCTTGAAGATGTGGTAGTGGCTGAGGTTACGCGTTTTTAGAACGAAAAATCCCCGCTTGCTGCGCGTTCGCGAAGCAATCAGACAGGGATATTCCTTCATGCTCGGATGAAGTGGCAGATTTGTGACGTTAAGAGTAGCATTTTTGCAGGTACGGACCTGTACAGATCGATCGCCGTGGTGTTCGGCGTGGATGAGGCGGAATGCACGGGTGTGCATTATTTCATCGATTTTCATGCGACGAGATTGTGCAAGAACATGTCGTTTTTGCTGATCTGTTTTTCTTTGATGTCTCGTTTCGTTCACACTTTGCCATTGCCCAGGGCTTTTGTCCATTGTTGATTCGTGTACATATTATCCGGACATAGTCGACTCAACCTCCTCGCCGCTCTCTCGCTTTCATCACTCACCGCGTGCGGTCCTTCGGTAGCGCGGAATTGTTTTTAATTGTCATTTTATGTCTTTTATTACGTATATTCCATTTCATCGATGTGCCTGCTCATAACGATTGAATGGCCGTCTCCCGGGTGATAAATGTTGCTCATCGTCACGTTTGTCATAAGTTTTGTTCTGCATTAGGTTCTTCAGTTCTTGGCTTCCAATTACAAATAGATTTGCGATTATTTTATCTGAAATAAAAAACGTGACAAATCTCTTTGTTCACTATCATCATGCTTTTTTTGAATGATCAGTGATGTTAGCATTAATGTGGCATTATACACAGCGACAACAATTGAACTATGGCCCATCCCACGGGCACTGCGGAATTGTTGGTCTCGCAATCACTACTGCCAAACGATATGAGAGTTCCTAAAGGAACGCGCGAATCATGTGGAGATTACGATAAAAACTTAACTCGCACATCGCTCACCGACAGCTGACCTAGCCGCTATGTAAAAACAGATGCCATGAATATATTCCTTTTCGTGTGTTGACCACAGGTCATGGAATCCACTGCTTTTGTGATATGACACCAACTTTCTCCTATTCATTAACTCCTGGTGTCCATCCTTCGGCTTCTTCTTCGTATGCCTGCATTATCGAGTATTGACGTTCGGAATCACTTTATTCTGTTGAGTGGTGCTATATATTCAGAGAAAATTCAGAAGTCCGACAAAGTGCTTTTACAGAAAGGAGATTGTTATGACATGTTTCTGAACATTAGTTGGCTCGTAGGTCCTACAATGAGAAGGCGGCATCCAGAAAGAGCGACGTGTTTCGTTTTCGGGTTGTGGATCCTTTAGATCATGAGAAAAATAGGCACAACTTCGTCTTGTAGATTATAAAGCTCCTCAGGGTTCAGGGCCATGCTGCTTTTATTGTCCGGACATTTTGGCTTGTCACGGTAGCCGAACTCGTGACCTTACTTGCACAGGGAGCGCATATGTGATCGTAGTGACCCCTTTCGCATATTCTTCCTCGTACGTTTCTGCAATCTTTGCCGCTGCTGCACTCTACTAACTTTTCAGTATTATCCTCCTTAAGCCTTGAGCATCTTCTAAAAATGTTATATGCGCGTATAATGACGACTAGTTACCTAACAAATGAAAAATTTTAAACTATATTACGATGACAGCTGTAAAGGCATTGAAAGGGGTACGAAGTTCGTTCACGTTTGATCAATTCGCTTTGGCGGGATGCGGCTACGCTTCTAGCCTTCCAATTCAGAATCGCAGTGGCTTATTGAATGCGATGTGGCCTATCAATTATTCGCGGGGGCCAGCCGATGTGTGAGTCAGTGTTCCTAACCTCATAGACGAACCTGACCACCGAATTTTACCGGGTTAGGGTAAATGGCTTGGCTGGCCTGAGCGGGAGTCGAATTGGGATTGGAACCCGGGACCGCGCTAGTGGTAAGCGCGTCACTTGTCACCATACCACAGTGCAGGGCGATATATGACAATATTTTTATGTGCCTACATCTAAGACCAGGCTGGCGAATTTTGTTATATTACTTGTGCGCCAACCCGTTGCAGTGTAAAAAACGGTGGTGGCTATACGCGCCTGCCTTGGAAAGCCGTGA